AAACGAGTATTTCTTCTCTCTCTCTCTCTATATATATATATATATATATATATATATATATATATATATATATATATATATATATATATAGTTAAAGACGACTGACAAGATAAGATACTGCGATTAAGCTTTTTTTATTTAATATTTCTTGTGTCCGTAGAAGTGTTTACTTTTCTGGACATTGATAAAAATAATAACCTTAACATCTAAAACGCCAAATACATGTCAGCTATAAGCAAGACGAATTTTCTCTTAGAAATATCATAAAGAAATACACAACTCCGGTCGACATGAACAAGAAAATTAAATTATCTATTAAAAAATTTAAAACATCTAACCATATCATCAAAATATTAACACACCTGCAAAAACAAAACTACAAAAAACAACATTATTTAGGAGTTCAAATAACCCTTAAGGAACTGTGTTCCTGATCAAACCAAACTCATAATTACATTGGTCACACAGGTACGTCTTTCTAGGCGACTTACGTTACACCTACTCGACCATAGCTCCATTAGGACTCATTTAAACGCACGCAAAACCTACCAGACTGCATCCGAAACATACTAGTAGAAAATACAAGTATAATAGCCTCATCCACATGTAAAAAATGGTCCAAAAATATGGAAGCACGAAAAGCCAACACTCAGTAAGATTAACTATGAACATAGCCACAATGTGCTGACTGTGTTCGCAAAATAAAATATTTCTATAACTTTAGACACACGCATAAAAAACACATATTTGGGTAAAAATAAATAAAATCGCCCTTGATAATAGCTAAAAGAATAGCCGAAAGCGTTGGTATACGCAGAGTCTTTGAATAGTTCTTACACACTTTGTGTCCAGAAAAGTAAATAAAAACTTGTACGAAATTAAATAAAAATCTCAAACTCAGTACTTTGTCAATCGTTATGTATAAAAGAGGGTTTGCTGCTTAAATACACAATATATATATATATCTGCCAATATCTGCTAACTCACTCATGTCTTCTCTCTCTCCCCCCTCACTTCCTCACTTCGTTAATTTACATATGTTTAATACGGCCCGGAAGTTTGGAAGTAAATTCTGATGATCCACAGTCCTTTTAAAAGGGCTGTAGAAATAACTTATTACATGGAACCTTAAAGTGGTCTGTTTTTTATTTAAATTATTTGCTCCTTGATTTACATTGAGCTCTCTGGATTTTATCCTCCTTAGGTTTACCCTACGGATTACCTAGTTTTTCATAAACTATATATATATATATATATATATATATATATATATTAATCTGTTTTACTTTCTGAAAGTAAATATATGCATGTGCAGCATGAGATTCTACGAAGCTGTGATGTATTATTGAATTTCATCAAGCGGAAAAAATTGCTTTCATGTTAGACTCCATTTCTCCAGGATAATGTCATGGTTTATTTGGCACTGGAATTCAAACTCTCCGGCTAAACAACTCACATCTGCCTCTGACATCGTGGGTCAGTAAATGTATCATAGCTAAACTCCGCTAAACTGAGTCATTTTTTCAAAGATACTACGACATTTGCTTATGCTTAGCGAACTATTGTGGTAAACATTGCTACTGTGTAACGGGTTCAATTCTCACCGCACCACAGTTGTCGGTTTGTAAGTTAATCGTAGTAAATAGCAACAATTCCCGTTGAATCGACAACGAAACATACACCGACTGTGTCAAAACATCCCGCAACACTAAGCACAAGAGACTGCATGACAAATACTACTGAGTGAGTCCAAGCCACACTGGGTATTCCATAGTTGTGGGTTTGTAACAATAAAATGCTAAATCGAGTTTAATACTCAGAGGCTGCCACATTTGCAGGCTTATGCCAAACTAAGTTTAACTTCTGTCTGATTTTCTGAGATGAGTAGTTATTATACACACACACACACACACACACACACACATATATATATATATATATATATATATATATATATAACCTAACTGTAAGGGTATATATATATATATATATATATATATATATATATATATATATATATATATATACCTAACTGTCAGGGTTTCAGTTCTCGGTAGTGGATGCGCACTGCTGTTGCTGAGTGCCAAATATAGGGACGAAACGGCCGTCCAGTGCTTTCTGCATTCTGTTGAGTTTTCTTTCAGACTCGATGAATTATTTATATATATATATATATATATATATATATATATATATATATATATATAGAGAGAGAGAGAGAGAGAAAGAAAGAAAGAAAGAAAGAAAGAACAGTAAGATATATAATCCGGTGTTCTTATAGATACTTTTATTTTTACAAAATAGTGCTCAATGTAAATTTACAGAGCATTAATATTATAAATCAATTGATTTAAAATATGTTTTTTTCCCTACACATTTCTAACCATGTTTCAAAAATGGAAGCTAAAAGATTTGGAGTCCAAAATTCGCTTGAGGATGAAATGGAAATAATGTCTTTAATTTAATTACAAAATTAAATTCGGATTTTTAGCTTCCATTTTTGAAACATGGTTAGAACTGTGTAGGGAAAATATTTTAAATCAATTAATTTATAATATATATATGGTATAATCAAGGCTGGTCCTATTAACACAACATAGAATTTGAAATATGTTAAAACTGACTCTCAAAAGAGCAGTCTGAATTTATTTTCAATAACCAGAGCAAATTTTCTTTACAATTGGAATTAAGATACGTTTAGTAAGTGACCATTTTCGCCTACGAATTTTAATTTTAAAATTCGCAGGATTTTAAACAGTAATAAACAGTACACTACAAACTGATACCAGAAACAGCTTAAAAAATCCTGCGAAATTTGAAATTAAAATTCGTAGGTGAATATGGTCATTTACTAAAGGTATCTTAATTCCAATTGTAAAGTATATATATATATATATATATATATATATATATATATATAGAGAGAGAGAGAGAGAGAGAGAGATAGATAGATAGATAGATAGAATATAAAATGCTCAAACACTAATATTCAGTGGGTATAATTTATTACATTGGAATCGTAATCACGATCCTATTCATCAGACCTACAAATTATATATGTACACACACACACACATATATATATGTGTGTGTGTGTCTGTGTAGAGAGAGAGAGATTTTTCGCTATTTATATTTGGACAATTGTTCTTATCTTTGTTCTTGTTATAACAATAATATACAATACAATAAGGGAACCGCTAAAAAAGAATGAGCAATGACAACAAATCTCAACTGCAGCAGCAGTCAAAATATAAACAAGCAGCATTAGCAATATTCAACATGCAGGTTAGGTTTAAGACTCCAAGTTCATTACTGCGAATTATCCAACAGTGGATTAAATCATCGGTTCGGGAATTTGGTAATATAGTAATTATGATTCAATCCCTGGATCGGGCAGTGTGTACTTGCATTCAATTGAAACGGGTGAGCAATAACTGAGCAGTACTAAGAATAAAAACTAGACGATATCCCTAAATATCTGCAGTTGAACGAGAACAGTCTCCCCAGGTAAAATAAATAAAGGGTTCTATTCAGAATTCCCTGTATTTTACCTAGATCAATATAAACCTGAAGAAGGCCGGAGTATATAACGACTGAAACGTTGTGTTAACAACAACAAAGATTAGGACAATACTTCGAATATCAATCGTGTAAATAAGGTAAACTTTGTAAATAACAGCATGGGAAAAATGAATATAATGGGCGATAGCATTAGTTCGCCTGAAATGTCAAGTAAAACCGGGAACATATGCGGCCTGCAAACGCCGTTTCCCCCACCATCCACAAAGATAAATTCAGTGGAATGATTTCTTCCACCATCACGAAGTATTCCCTGTATTCGTGAATGTGTAACATCTGTGGGAGCCATGCAGGCCATCATTCAAGTTACCTATTTCACTTTACGTACACTTACCTATCGATTTCTTTCTTCCCATTTCTAATCGATATTCTTAACTATTCAAACCTTCTCTCCCACAGCTGGTATCTAGTTCTATGCCTCTTTACTTTAGTCTGTTCGTACTCACATGTGTTTGTGTTGGGCGTAGAAATAGACATTAAGTACAACTCTAAATGGAACATAAAGAGAAAGACAAAAATTATCCACACTCTTGTTATCTTATGTGTTATGGCGAAAGTGTGGATAAAATATATATATATATATATATATATATATATATATATATTTACTCATAGTTATAGAGCTTACTAAAGCTACAGCCATGGATCACCGGTTAATACCTGGATCATATTTGCTAGACTGATTCATTTTTTACGGTTTTTAAACGACTTTCAGGTTATTCAAATCCAGGAAATATTTTTAGATTGTAAAAATTCTCTGGTGGATAATAATAATTTACTGATACAAGTCCTAGTAATTAGGGGGTTAAGATATATACCTACCCCAAGGATATTTGCGCGTGAGTGAGTATAACGAACACATCTGAAATTGGAACTCAGCTCCCCGATCTCCAATTCCGTGCCCTTATCCATTACACCACCGGGACATCCGACACCTTGTATTCTCAAGCTGTCACCCACCTATATAATGACCAGGCTCGACGTTACTTAACTTCGAGGACCGGCGTTTCAGAGTAAGCCCATATTTGCTAGAGGAGTAATGACCGGTAAAACTGGTTTCTTAACTGCTACTGCACGGGTTAGGGATTTTATAAGACACTAGACTACCTGACAATTGCGTTTAAACATGAAAGAAATTGTCAAATCTGGGTATTGACTCCAATGGAAACATTTATATTTACACATGCTCTATTCTTGATATTGAGCACTTTATCCCATAAATGCTGCATACCTTAAAACTAAATATGAGTGTGTGTGTGTGTGTGCGTGTGTATGTGTGTGTGTAGAGAAAGAGACATTATGAACAAACTGTGATAGATTATCAAAATACTGAGATAGATAGATTATAAACACAGATAATGAACATAGATTATAAACATCGATAGATACGTTATGAACATACTGATAGATACAGAGACAGATTATGAACATACTGATAGATAGATAGATAGATAGATTATGAACATAGATAACGAACATAGATTATAAACATCGATAGATAGATAGATAATGAATATAGATAGATAGATAGATAGATAGATAGATAGATAGATAGATAATAAATATACTGATCGATAGATAGATAATAAATATACTGATAAATAGATAGATAGATAATGAATATACTGATAGATAAATAGATATATAGATAGATAGATAGATAATGAATATACAGATAGATAGATAGATAGATAGATAATGAATATACTGATAGATAAATAGATATATAGATAGACAGATAATGAATATACTGATTGATAGATAGATAGATAATGAATATACAGATAGATAAATAGATAGATAGATAATGAATATACTGACAGATAGATAGATAGATAGATAGATAGATAATGAATATACTAATAGATGGATAGATAGATAATGAATATACTGATAGAGATATATATAGAGGGATTATGAACATACTGATAGATAAATAAATGCATATGAATAGATACATAGATTATGAACACAGATTATGAACATGGATTATGTACATACTAATAGATAGATAAAAGGATATGAATAAAGATAGGTAAATGGATATGAATAGACAGAACTTGATAAACATAGATAGATAGATAGATAGATAGATAGATAGATAGATAGATAGATAGAATTATGCTTTGATGATATTTAAATGGACAGGGATAGACAATGATACATATGATAATACTGAAATTAATAGATATATAAATAGATATGAATAGATAAAGATTGATAGATATGTAGACTGATATGAATAGACTAAGATAGATTGATCATCCCATCGTATATGTCTATGTATATCTCTATTCGTGAATTATAAAAACTGTCCGTTGCTTGCGAGAGACTGAGTGTTGGAAGTGCCACAGTCTGTCAATCATTATGTGATTAAAGCCGAGATGTGGTGGCGTAAAGGCACCCAAGCGGATTAATGTATCCAAACTAAACTGTCCTGAAAAGCTTGAACAATATCAAGAAGCAATCAACCTTAATATATCTGATGATCCATCTGTAAGTTTTAGTCAGCTACTATGAGGCGGCTTCCTCTACGCTGCTTTTTCTAAAAAGAGGACATCAGGTTTGATTTAAAGAGAATGAACGCACACTTAGAAAACGTATTGAATGGAAAGAAAGTGGCGATTAACAAGTTCCTTTCTTGTTCAGTATGTGAACGTGAGCTTGAGAAAGATTTCCAAAGCGTGTAAAGCCAAGGGTCAGCGGGAGATGTGAACAGTCAAGGACACGTGGTGGCGCCTAAAAGCCCATAAGATTCAGGCATCTGCTGATAATTCTTTGTACTTTCAACTACATGTTGTCCATGGCCCATCATTTTCTGTCTTTGCCCCTTTGCGTGCATTATGGCCCGATCGTGATATTTCAGTGATACTTTGAACCGGGAGGAAGTTATAGTAAGCCCCGCTGTTTGTCGTACGGTTCCCAGAGACACCTGTAATCATTCAGCTTGTCGATCCGCCCACTCAAGATGAAATAATGGTAGCTATAAAACGGATGAATACCGGAAAAGCCCCTGGAAACGATGGAAATGTGGAATTTCTTGTCGATCACTTGCAAGACTTATGCGCCATTTAAGACGTCATAAAGAAATCGGAAATTATCCCTGAAATGTTCGTTTGGGAGTTACGGGTCCTGAGGGTGGTCTCACTCGGTCACGAGATTTCAACCATGTATATAAGGTACATTTAATAACATTTTGTGGAAATGAGTCGGAACGAGAATTTGACATTTTTACAGTGTATATGTGTCTGTACATATCTAATAAGTAGTTATACCAATATATTTACATCCTTTTAAGGAGCAAAGTATTTATTTTATACAGTAAATATTTATTTTTCAACATAATCTGCATCCTTGTCAAAGCACTTAATTCAATAGTGAGTATTAATAACATAGAACGAACATTATACGGTATAAATTTCCAATCTAAATTGCTTATTATTTCTCAATGGAAACAGCTTCACGTCTCCATATATTATATATATATATATATATATATATATATATATATATATATATATATATATAATTGTGTATTTGGGTAGCAATCTCTCTTTTATACAGGTTTCATTGAAAATCAGAAAAAGGATTAAGTTGATTATTCATTATAAAACATTCAAAACGGTCAACAGTTATCGTCAACAATAAGAATAAAATTATCCCAAACTAATATAAACTTCTCTCTGAATTTCTGTAATGTGGAGTTATCATTATTTACACTATTTATATTCGGACTATTGTCCTCATCTTTGTTGTTGCTATAATAATAATATACGATACAATATGGGAGACAATGAGAAAAAAGGAAAGAAGGAAAGAAAGAAAGACTGTGACAGCAAATCTTCAACAGCAGCAGCAGTCAGAATATGATCAAAACTAAATAGTACCAATATTATATATTTATATGTCCCATATGGAACTGATTTTCTGATAAGAAATTCATAAATAATAATTATATCGGACATACAACTACGTGCCTATCAAGGAAACCTACTTTGCATCTTGCGGATCATAGCTGCATTTGGACCCATTTAAATAAACATGGAAACCTACTAACCTCTATCCGCAACCTACTTGTAGAAAACACTAACATAACACACTCATATGAATGCAGAAAACGATTAAAAATAAACGAAGCTTTAACTATAAAAAAAAAGAATGTAACTCTCAATAACAACAACTATGAACACGGTCAAAACGTGCTGACAGGTGTGATTTTCGGAGATTAAATCATTCCTATTCCTCTGCCTATATTTCTGAGATGAAGTATTGCAACTATTTACATCACTGCTGGTATTTTTACGACAAAAATGTATGTTTATATTTTCAAGGTGCTTGGCCCTAGTTTGGTGTGTTAGAGTGGACTTGGGAGCAACAGCAATTAAGAGTTGGTTCCACAATCCTCAAAACCTCCAGATCAGAGGCCTTGCTGCTGGATGTAGTTTAACGTCATACCCAGAACACTTTCTCTTTGAGATTTCATTTATTTCTATTCAGCCTACGTCTTTCCATACCGAACCAACGTTATTTCTCTTTCCGTATACTTTCGAAACTCTACTTTTCTACAAAACCAGCAACTGCATTCTCATCGTGGAATAAATCCTGAATCACAGTAAAATTCTTTATTTGTATTCCATGATTCAGTTACCTGCAAAACCTAGGCTTCAATTCCTCGTTTCCAATTTTTATCTATCGTCGTTCGCAGCGCAGTTTCGGTCCCAGTAATAAAATTATCTGAAGAAAATCTGTTTTCACTATGGTTTCATATGTACAGGGGAAAATAAAAAAAAAATACTTATTCGTCATACCAAAATAAAAAGACCTTTTCGCTAACCGATCAATGTTGATAATGCATAAAAATCATTGCGTTATCTTTTGCGTAGCAAATGAAAGAATTTAAAGCCCATATGTTGCAATGTTTATCTTGACAATTAACCATTGGACTGGTTAATTGTTAACATTTCTCTTCGTGATTTCCATTTCTCTGCAAGATTAACAAAGCACAGTTATTAATTCAATCGAACAGAAATATTAAAAGATTTACTTCGTTGAATTTAGGGTAAATTCAATAAGTGGTAAACAATGGATAAAAGTATATGCACAAATTTCACAGAATTAACCTGTAGAAAAGACAATATGTATAAAGAAAAAAGACAATAGGAAAACTGTGGTTTTAGCCGACGCGTTTCGTGTAATGTGGACTTTGTCAAGGCATAAATGGGAAATGAATTTATTGAAACAAATATCTATAAACCCCCAACCTGAGAGGATGTGGTATTATGGCGTATGGCGGATTGATTGACGACGTATGAGTTTTTATGGTGAATGAGGAAATTGTAACGAGTGAATGGGTCGTGAATCCGATTAGTTAGGTATAAGATAGTTAGTGAAGACCAGCCTCAACCCATTCTCCTCTTTTCGGCCGTGTGCATAATTGTATTAATTTCGAATAAATCTCAACAAATATCTATAAACGACAAACAAAATGTTGTTAGCAACTAGAAGAATTTAGAAACGCTATTGTATCATCATATGGTCAACTAAAAAATTACGTCATTTACTTTGTTTGAAGTCCAGCATGTACAAAATGATAAATATCTTGGAAGAGTTTTCACAGAGGACAGAAAATGAGAAAATAAAGTTAGAAGTCGCGTTGCCATAACAAAAGATAAACACTGTATTAAGAAACAAGGAACATTACGTGGCGAACAATGAAAACAGCGATGAACACTTAAAAAATATCGGTCTTCCAATAAGGACTAATTCAGGACAACTTCACCACAGATGAAGAAAAGGCTTCAGACAAGTGATGACGTTCTACAAAAGTATGATTAGAATACCATAGCTCTAGCATGTAATCAATGAGGAACACTGAAGGAAAATGTAAAGAAAAAGCACAATTAAAATCAGAAAGGAATAGTTTAATTTTAATGAGAGAAGAAATTCTGGCAAATTTGATACTCACAAAAAATACTGAAGGCGAAAGTATCAGAAGAAAAGCAGTGACAACTCCACGAGAGCAACTCTTTGTGATTGCTCGATCACACACTGTCCGCTGACCTGAAAATTTTTTTTTCTCACCCGAGTCCATCTTTCAAATCTATAAATCAACCATTCGTCCTCTGCTTGGGATACTGCTGCCATATATGGTCTTCTGCCCTCGCTGTTCGTCTGAAGGTCCTCGACAAAATCCAGAGACGGATATGCAATGTGATTGACCCTGATCTGGCATCCGGTCTACAGTCGCTCTCTCACAGACGCACCGTCACCTCCCTCTGTCTTTTCTACAAATACTTTCACGATAACTGCTTTGACGAAATATACTTTCGCTAGTTCCCGGACTGCATGAATTTAAACGTGCAACTAGGCTCGCTCCCACCATTTCACTATCGAAACAGTTAAATGTAGCCGTCTCTTCTACTTCAATAGTTTCATGTCTCGCACCTCTCGCCTGTGGAATTCCTTTCCTATTACTTGTTTCCCTGGTAGCTATAGTCTCCAACTATTCAAATGGAATGTCAATCGACATCTTCAGATGTCTTGATCTATTCCCTGTCCTTCTCTTCATTCTTTCCTCTATCACGCTTCTACTCTTGCTCCCATTCTCTGTAACCCCTTGCGTGCTAGTGGCACTCCCGCCTTTCTTGGGGTAAAATGCTTAAAAAAGTAACCTACATGATTAGCTTTCATAAATAGAACAGGAAATGACAGGCGATAGTACAATGGTAAACATTGTTAAGAGCTACGAAATATGATAAATTGTGGAGAGCTTTGACTGTCCATATCCTGAAAGAACACGGCCCACAAAAGAATAAGTAATTTCATAATATCGTATATGTGACGATTCATATTATTTACTTTGTTCGGGCAGTTGTCCTCATCTTCGTTGTCATATTGATGACGTTTCGACTATTGTATGCTCCAGCCTTCTTCAGGTGAATGGAATTCGAACTGAACCCTTTATTTTGTCTATCTAATAGGTTATTATAGCCCTACGTGCCATGATTCTAACGGATGCCTCAGGATCAGTTATCTCCCTTTAATTCAACTCGACAAGTTTTTGTTCACCTCTGTTGTAGACAGGTATTGAACTCACAACTCTTTAGGTCAAGTCACTGGATTCAAACAACGCTCTTATCCTTGAGGACATATGAAGAAGACAGTGAAGAAGACCGGTGACTAAAAAGACTGAAACCTCGTGAATATGGCAATGAAGATGAGGACATCAGTCCGAATAATATAGTGTAAATATTACAATACCTCATCTCAGAAATATAGGCAGATACCGTAGATGTGACGTTAAACTGTCTTTTGATTTAAGCCGAGTTAGATCAATTACTGATAGCGTTGTTCCTGTACGGTTATAAGAATCACACCAATCTCTTGCCGTCATTTTCTTCAATGAAGATAATCATCTTGACAGGCACTGATGGAACAAATGCATCAATTCTGATGGTGACTGCAAGGGAAAAAGCAGCATATTCGTGTCAGTAATCTGCACAATGATTTAGTTGTATAATAAGGAAATATATTGAGTTGTTATATATTTATACCGGAGCTGTTAGATATATATATACAGTGTGGCGCATATCCGGAGTTTTTACACACCAACTGCGCTGTGACGTCACAGAATAAGAGGTTTGGAGGGCGTCATTAGAAAGTACACCTCAGTAGCTGCTGGTCATTGATGTACAAGGTGCTAAGTAATCGATATATCTTCAGAATATGATCACCGCGACGCTGTTGTAGAGAGACTTCGCACCGGTCACAAATCTAAGAAAATCATTGAATGGTTGTAATACCCTGAAACCATTGTCTACTAATTTAAAAAAGCACGCCAAGAACAATTTCAGGTTAGAACGCAAGACTCATAAGAAGGGCTCTTCTAACGCCACCAAAACGTCTGAGTTCGTCGCTGACATTGCAGAGGTCAGCAAGAAAAACCCCAGCAAAGGCATAAGGAAATTCACCAAGGAAATGAGCACCGGCAGGCGAACAGTCAGGTTTATTTTCAAGAAGGAATGTGATTATAAATCTTACGTGCACAAGATGTGTCACTTGCTCACCGTACCACTAGTTACCAGACTTATGGTTGCCCTCATCGCCAGATTAAAATCCACTCGACTATTTTGTGTAGGGTGTCTTTCACGTAAATAGCAAGACCTACAACATCAAGAATACTCTCAAAGCAGCAATCAGAGACGCCAATGGGTAATATGGACAGGGTCGCCATTGCGAAGGGCTGATTCAGCTTCCGGTTCAACCTATGGAAAGTGGTTTCCGCTGATGGTGGCCACATCGAGTCATTTTCGTACTCTATGTATATGCTTTGCTGTGTATAATGTTACATTGAAATAATTTAATTTGTTATATAAAAAACGCTCTTTTTATTATCCATTAATATTTTTTTCTGATTTATCTGTGCTATAGTGTGTACATATATATATGTGTGTGTGTGTGTGTGTGTGTACACTGTAGCTATATATATATATATATATATATATATATATATATATATATATATATATATATATATATATTACTCCGACACACTTTTCTGTTTACTTGGTGGCGGCAATATTTCCGGAGATCCCAGTAAACCATGGAAACGACCTTCGATACCGCACCGATGGTTGCCTCTTCAATATAGCTAGCCTACGGCCCACAACTCGAGTCACAGATCTAAAATACGCCGATGCCAACTACACCCTGGACTCAGCCGACAACTTCCTCTCAGCGCGTACAATTGCTACGAACTCACCATCAACGTAGCAATATATATACATGTTTTCTGGGAAATTGAGAAATGGGTCGAGCTGAGAACATTTCAATGCGTCTTTGTAAATAATTGTCTGTATACGTACATATGTAAAATAATTTCGTTTTTTTTTATTTGTGAGTCAGACGTTGGAAGGAAAACTTTTCTCCTTTCCTTTTAGCAAGTCGGCCATAGCATTTGTTAATTAGGCTTTCAGACATTTCTGAGAATTAATGATAGAAGTGAAAAATGAAAGCGGCTAATATATATATATATATATATATATATATATATATATATATATGGTGTGATGGGTAAATTGTCGCATTATATATTTAAATTTCGCGCATGCGCATTATTTGTCTTTTTGTTGACTGTACAGTAAAGTACGGTCAGCTGGGCACCGTCTATGAGAATAGGATCACCATGACGCAATTCACTCCATCAGAACTTTGGAAACGGCTTGCTGTATTGCTTGCCATTCACACCAGAATCTCATAATACAAATATTTCAAAGTGCTTAGGTGTCAAGCTGAGGACAATGCAGAAGATTCGGAAAGTGTTGAATAAATCTAATAGTGTTTATGAAGGTACTGCAGCTCGGAAAACTCACTCTGATGGTTCTATGAGAAGATCTCTCGAATTTGTTTTTCAGGGCTACAAACACAACAGGAATACCTACATCAAGTGCCTTGAGGAGGTAATGTTGCCCTGGGTAAAGAGGGTGGCTACTGGAAGAGCCTATGTCAGGCAACAAGATTCTGCGCCATGCCACACAAGCAGGAGAACGCAGTCATGGCTATCAGACAATTTCTGCGACCATATCACCCCTTAAATCTGGCCACCTATCTTCTTAGACTAGAACCCCCTTGATTATTATGTGTGGGGCGTAGTTGAGCAAAAGACCAACAAAACCCATTGTGAGACCAAAGATTAAATGAAGGCAAGGATTATGGCAGCATTCACCGAAGTCATCTGGAGGCCCTGGTTGAAGCTAATGGCGATTTTATGGAATAAATCTACTCTTTAGTATTTCAAGATATGTTTGTGTAATTTTTTGTAAATATATCTGGTAAATGAGATCTATATATGATATAATATATATATATATATATATATATATATATATATATATATATATATATATATATATATATATATATATATATATATATATATATATACATATATATATATATATAATATATATATATATACATAATATATATATATACATAATATATATATATATATACTTAATATATATATATATATACTTAATATATATATATATATACTTAATATATATATATATATATATATATATATATATATATATATTTAATATATATATATATTTATATATATATATACATTATATATATATATGCATAATATTATATATATATATGCATAATATATATATATATATATAAACATAATATATATACACATAATATATATATATATATACATATATATATATACATAATATATATATATACATAATATATATATATACATAATATATATATATATGCATAATATATATATTTATATATATATATATATATATATATATATATATAATATATATATACATAATATATATATATATATATATATATATATATATATATATATACAGTGGGGGGGAATAAATATACACACTTGAAAAATTGTATTTTTATCAATGTAAAAGCCTTAACTAAACAAATTCTGATACATTTTATGTGTAAAGATACATTTTATTAAAAAACAGTATTAGACTTAATTAATTCTTATTCTAACAGAAATTAATGCATTTTTTCATTTTAACTGATGAAAAAAGTATTCGTACAAAACAAAAAATGCATATTAACTTAATTTAATACTTTCTGGAATATCCTTTATTGAGTTCAACAGCTAACAGTCTATTCCTGTACCTCTCAACTAATGATGTGCAAACATTGAGTGGTATTTTGTCCCATTCTTCTTGGCATATTGTCTTCAAATTCTTGATATTTGTTGGTGCTCTTTTCCCAATTTGAATTTTCAAATATCGCCATAAATTCTCGATTGGGTTCAAGTCTGGGGACTGACTTGGCCATTGCAAGACACCAACGTTACTTTCTGCTAACCATTTCCTTGTAGATCTAGCGGTATGCTTAGGATTATTATCCAGTTGGAAAACCCAATCAGGAGGTAGCTGAAGTCTCTCAACAGAACGCATTAAATTGTCTTGCCGGATTTTCTGGTAGCTTTCGGCATTCATCTTGCCGTCTGTTATTGATATTCTGCCAACACCTATTGCAGAAAAACAGCCCCAGATCATGATACTGCCACCACCAAACTTTACAGTTGGCAACGTGTTCTTTGCTATGTAGGCTTCACCGTCCTTCCTCCACACATGATTTCGATAATTATGACCAAACAACTCTATTTTAGTTCCATCTGTCCATAGTACTTTTTCCCAAAACGAATATTCTTTATCCTTATGCTCTCTAACGAATTTTAGCCTAGCATCTCTGTGTTGTTTCGAGAGGAGTGGAATTTTCCTTCGGATGCGTGATTTCAGACTGTTTTTTGGAGTTCATTACTTATTGTACGCTTGGTTACTTTAATCCCTAATGCACGCAGATGTTCCTGTAGCATTTCTCGAGTAACCTGTGGATTTTGTTGGATCTGGCGTCCCAATATCCTTGCTGATCTTAGAGAAATCTTCCTCAGAGCACCTGTTCGTCTTTGGTTTTCGACGCTGTTACGAGTTTTAAACCTTGCAATGAACGAAGTAATTGTAGTAAAAGGAATATTTGGGTTGTTAGAAATCGTTCTGCAACTGTTCCCATCTTTCCAAAGAGACAAAATTTGTTGTTTTTGTGAAATAGTCAATTCTTTACCTTTAGGCATTATTAGAACCTTCTCGGAAGACTAGAAATTGCAGAATGCTCTGATAATGGCTAATAGTGTTAACTATAATTACTGATAACATTACTGGAACATTCTAGAATATACTTTTTTCATAATTAATTGGTTACTTTATTCTAATGATTGATTTGTACGAATACTGTTTTCACCAGTTAGAATTTAAAAAATGCATTAATTTCTGTTAGAATAAGAATTAATTAACGAATAGTCAGACATGTTTAGAGTAAGACATCTTGATTGTGGAGTTGTCGTATATCCAACATATACATTTTTTTATGTCGGAGATTCATTCTCCCAAGAGACATTTGAATTGATATATAATGTTAGTTTTACGTAATACATCAGTTGGTTGGGAAGATACGAACTTAACCAAGATAACAAAATCCCTTTCCTTGACATTTTAATAGAACCAAATAATAACACATTTACTATCTCCTTGTATATAAAAAACAATCAGCAAAAATCTTGCAATGTTATAGATATACAAACACACACACACACATATATATATATATATATATATATATATATATATATATATATATATATATATATATATATATAAGTATATGATTGGTGTATATGGAATGAATTCCAATAACCAACAATTACTATTCTTAAAAGAGTGCTCAATACAAGGTAGAGCAGATATAATTATTTATTTAAAAAAAAATAAAAAAATTAAAAAAATTCTAACATAATTTTTTTTTTAAATATATTATATATATATATATATATATATATATGTATGTATGTCTATGTGTCTGTGTGCATATGAGAAAAGCAAAATTCAGGTTGCCTATTTCAAATGTAAGGGCTAACGTCTGCTATCATTAAGTTATAAATAACGCAAGGCAAACCATATTGAAATGCACCAAATATACTTTCCCCACTCATGCAGTCTTGTATCAGAGTACATATACTTACGTCTGTATATTTTGAGGGAGATTTCTGTAAATCCATTTTTTATATTCAATTAATATAAATGTTGGCATATTTAATGTTTTCGCACAGTTGCATTATGAGAGACAGGCAAAAATTTCAAGTAAAGCTTAGGTAATTTTAATGTGGGACGCCATAATTTCTACTTTGTATAAGTAAGCTAAATGGCGACTTCGTTCAACAGAAACAGCAAGATTTATTTCGCGTTTCAAGCTGTAAATCTTTTCGGCTGGTTCTTGTACAATATGCGGGATATTTTCCCCTCTAGTGATAAGTCGGTTAAATTCTACGGCGGTTTGGTAAAAGAAGACATCGTCTGAAATCTAATAATTGTCTCGTAAATCTTCTTCAGAAAAAAAAATCAATCAGAAAGTTTGATATTATGCCGGAATAGACATTGCACTTAAAATTTCATTTCCTGGTGCAAATCTGTGGTTTCTCTCGGCCACCGAATAAAGCTATACATGATCTCATACCTGCATCCGCTATGACAAACGTTAGAACGAGTATGTTTGATTATACTTAATTGTGCAAGAGTTTAATTGAGCAGGCTCTCATATATTGTAGACAGTGTTCACGGTCCACGAATGCAACCCGGTGTAATGGGACTCACACCACCAACTGACCCAAATCGTAACAGATTAAATTTTGGAGTAAATAAACTGTCAAGTCATGAATATAACATGTCTCTT